ATTTGTGCCAACAGGGAGATAAATCTCAACATGATCCAGGATTTTTATCATTTCTTATGGCTTGTCCACAGATGTTCCACCAATATCCCACAGAAAAGTTCCTTTTATTAATTATCGGGACCCCTGTCTTCTTGGCAATGTACTTTAGAATAAAATATCACAGCACGCATGTATCCAAGTTAGCTAGACCCATTTTATATAGACACTTAAGAATAAATGAAGAAAACTAGATACAGTATTGGGCGAATTCGCTTATCGACCATTGCTAATGTTTCAACACATGATGTGAGATTCACACCAGATGTAACGGGCCTTATCTATATATACTTATATTACTTTGAAATAAACATTCTTAAATTTAGTTAGCACCGTTTTTAATTTACTTTCATTTCACTTTAAGAATTACATTTCACTTATAGAACTTCATCTAATTAGCAAGTGAGTATTCATTGTTTTACGCCAAACCGCAATCATTGACCATATGGTTGTATTCCAAATATGTAGCTATATTCTATGACGAAGGGTTTATATATGACTTTATATATATATTGGCATGGATTTTGTGATTCTAGCTGGTAGCTATGTAGATGTCATATAGTTGTATGAGGGTTTTTTAATTTTTATTTAATACATACAACGTAAATTTACCCCCAAAATTAGCATAATAATTATAATACAGTAAATTGTTCACCATCACTAAAATATTTTTCTGATTTTCAAACATATGTTGACATAGTTTATGTGTTAAATGTTTTTCAAACTGTCTAAGAAGAAGGTCAGAGGTGAGTGGGTGAGACAGACGCAAAACATCCAAGCCATATTTTAAAATTTGTCAAAGTTTCCGGTCCCCCACAAGAATATCAGGGAAATCCGCCTTCTCTGTTATAATACCATGTTGACTTTGTTATAGAGTCAGATCATTATTGTTCTATTTTATATACTTCCTGTAATATTCACTGTTGTATCAGAAAGCACCTACCTTATTTTGAATACATTGATACTCCATACATTCTTTTAAGAATAAAAGCGAATAATATGCAAGATACAAGCATGCTTTAAACACTCCATAAGACGATACAAAGAACACCGAGGCAATAAAATTTATTTTCTCAATATTTTCAATGAAAGTCGTTTGCTGCATGGATTTCACTATTTATTTTATATATTTTAAATATCCGTTTCTAAGTCTCGCCCACTTCCCACATATTTATTATAAGGTTAAACGGGTCATAAATGTCTTCGCCCTCATTTTTAGGAACTTATAAGACGTTTTCCTTTTCCTACGTCTAAAAACAATCAAAAATCATTCTCTCAATAAATTTCAATTGAATTTGTTTCATATATACTCGTTCGAAAGTTCCTACTGAATTTTGGCTAGAAAACACCTTCACTTTCTCAAAGGTCTTCAACATCATTCATTGTAATCCGCATTTCTCTTGTTTTAATTAAAACAGCTTTGTTCATTTTGTTGTCGGTAATAGATAATATCATATATTGTTTTAAAATAGTATCAATTGCAGCACTACAGGATCGAAAACTCAGCTTATGGTCACGAAGCAAATTTTTCCTGTGTGCATGATTGAACGTTCGTCGTGTAATGGCGAGGGCAAGCTCCAAAACTCATCTTTATATTTATGTAAATATACTGTAATAGTACACAACACAATTAATTGCTGCGAAATGTCCTCCAACTGTTAAAAGGCTATCTATTTCCCTCAGCACGTTATCAGCTTACGCATGGTCACGCGTCGACCAGCTTTTGCAACATATTGGGTAACACTGGACTGCATGGACACAATGGCGATATATGCCATTGTATACATAACGATAACTCGATAAGTACAACTGAAATACAATATTATCTCGTGTTTTATCTATGCTCTAAGTCGTTCAAGCAAATGGAGAGAAAGCTCCAAATTTAATAATCACTGTGCCTTTAACTTCGTTAAATTCGCATCAAATTGTAGTTTAATATAATGCCCGCAAAATCTGTACATGATATTTCAATTAGTTATGACCTCCGAGAGATGGACGCGATTTAATTTTGAAGTTATTGTCAAGTTATATTGCCAAAGGCTATACTCTATGAAGTAATTGTCTGGTTTACAACAATGCCGCCGTGTCAGACGAATCAATTCAATGCAAATGTAGATCGCTGTTAATCGAAGATTGAAAGTGCATCAAGAATGTTAATGCATCGCAATTAAGAAAAAAATGTCATCTAGTGGATGTTTATATATATTGATATATGCATAGTTTCGAATTGAGAAGACCAACACAGACTATCCTATATCGCAAAAATATACAGTGAATTAGCATGCATATTGAACTTTAGGATATAAAGTAATATTACTAATATATATGTATAAAAATAATTGCAATCTGCATTGATCGAATAAAAGTCCAATTCCTCGAATGGTCAATAAGTTGTCGTTGCTCTTGTAAGACAAAATGATAAAATTATTCTTAGTTCACATCTTTGTATGCATGTGTTGTCTATTAAATTTACTAATTTCACCATGTTTCCAAGTGAACTATGTGAACTATACGAACCAGTTCGCATGCAATGGTCAAAGTTAGCTCCAAAATTCTTGCACTAATATTGAATCATATTTTCAACGTAATACCGGCTAATTAAACATGTATATTTCAACAACAGTTACCACTGGTATAGCCTATATTTATTTAACAAAAAGTTATCATTCGTTGATACATATATATTTAAGCGATCAATAATTGCTGTTGGAAGTGCTGTTCAATATAAATGATGAAAATAGGCTATGCATGCTGATAGCTACATATATATACACATTTGTGACCGTGCTCTGACAGAAGAAATTACTTAAGGTAAAATTTACAATGATTATGTCTATATATAGGGTGTAGTTATGGTTGTATATAAGTGAAATTCTTCCAAATTAAATAGAAGTATATTCAATCCGGAAAACTTGATTTAATATATGAATTATAACAGCAGCTAAAAAAGTTACAAGCTATATATATATACAGAACTTTATCGCACTAACTGTCGTTTTATGCCATGGTTACAAACTTTCATAGTCAATCGTCACCGTTATAAATATAATCTATTACTACATGTTTACTTTAAATGTGTAATATTATTAAATGATACTACGGCGGTTTGTAACCAAAGACGTAAAGGTATGCGACGCGCGGCAATCGATTGCTGCTACAAGAGTAGGCCTATGGCTATAGGCTATATGCATGCATGCTAGCGAGATAAGGTTATACGAACATCATCCAGAATGTCAAACGATGCGAACGTTTGGCATCGTAATAAAGCAATTTTTCACTGTATTGTTTTGTCGTGGAGTCAACGAGCCTGCGACACAGTTTGATCATGGCTTTTGGGACTCAGATTTTAATCTTTGACGGCTTTACGGAGAAACGGACAAAGACAAATGCAAATCACGCGTCTAGCTGTCTGTTCAAATGTACGCCGTACCGAAAATATATATCATGACTTATCTAGTTGTATTTATTTCGTGCGGCCTGAACCTTTGCTATCACGAAATACCTAGCGCTGCTAAATCGCGTTATGTTTGTTAAATTGGTGAATACCAATTAGGTCTAATCGAGTTAAACAAACCATACATGCAATCATCAAATTTTTCATTATAAAAGTTCCTTATAGATATGCATGGTCGTTTAAACCACACACTCTTTGTGACCTATATGTAGACGTTGATGTCAGCATACAATCTATATTGAAAAGCATATAATAATAAAATACTCTTAGTTTACACGTTGGCTGATTTTTTTTATAATCGGCAGCATCGCAAGCAATACGGCGAAATACAACAATTTAATGTCGGTGTATAACCTGGCTAGAATGTTTCATAAATACCCTGCGCCAGTTCCGTTTTACTAAATTACACTCTCAAAGCTATTCCTTTCAATATCATAATATATAATAGCCGAAGTAGTTCGTTCTATCAAATAAACGACTGTAAACTACTCAAATTACCATTCGAACGTTCAGTAAACCAATAACCTCAATAGATGCCATGCGAATACTATATACCACAAGTATTTCCTGCATGACCACACATATTTTTCCTGATATTATTGAGAAATAATAAAGTAATCGTAGATTAAATAGAAAATGGTGTCAAACTGTCGAAATATTGCACCTTTCAACAATGTTCAAACAATTTGAGCCATTCCGTAACCCAAAGTCCTAGTTTCGCGAACATATATTTAAAGGCGACGCTTTGTTTGACTTGAAAAAAGAAGCATTAATAAACATGTCAGCGTAGTCAAATACTGGATTAACCCGCTTTCGCTTGTAAAGATTCGCCGAAATTACACAGCGACGTTTTCAAGGCCGGTTTTAAATACATACGAGGAGTGTAGAAGGATTGTGATTGCATGACACGCTCAATACTAGGGATTGTATATTGATTAATCGATACCATTAATAAAATAGGTGAATTCTACGCAAATATTCTTTATATATAAAGATTTGGCATTGAAAGAAAATAAAAACGTCTATATATAGGGCCAACCATCGTTTTCATATTTGTATTCCGGCCGAAATTGTAGATTTTTATTTAGGGATTGTGATTTACATGTGATATTTCAGCCCTTGGCAATTCAGCATCACCCGAAATGGTTGTAGTATTTACACTGTATTATAAACTGGTGAATCTCGCGGGAATCGTGCATGCACCATTCACGAATCGCCGTGTATTTGATACATTACAAAACAGATTATATACTACATGCACACTTACAAGGAACGCATATATACTCTTATAGGTGACCGTAGGAATCAATATTGAAACATGTACTTTTAATAATTGTTAATCGTTCTTTGATAAATTTCGTTATATTGACAACTTCGCTCGATTTAGAAGTTAAATTCAAAGAACGACACACATTTGTATGAAGCATATAGCGTTTATGGAGTATTATTGCTCTGCTATATTTCATATCAATGCGGTTCAATTTGGTTTTTATAAAGCAGTAACACTTACCGACAGTCGTCCTTGTGCCAATACAATGGTGGATAGTACAACTGGCCAGCAAAACAAATTGGTGACAGCAGTAATAGCAGTACAGCTGTAGCTTTCATGTTTACTGTGGGCTGTAGATTATATGCGTGTTTACGTTCTACAGCAAGGCAAGAGACCCGATACGCGAGATCTTCCGTCCAAAATATATTTTGTATAACAACGGCGAGACTGACGAGGGTTCGCCACGGGTCACGGTCTCTGGCTAGCAAAGCTCGTTTGTCGTGCGTCGTGTTCCGAGGATCGTGCATGTTGACAAGAAAGCTGCTTACAAGAGTCGTGGAACTCCAACTGTGAGGAACTGCGGAGGAGGGAGCAAACACGTGGCGGCGATCACGGCATTTATACTTCGTGGATCGTGGGTTGTAAAAAAACAACCAAAATACAATCGATCCCTATAAAATAACGAGTAATAACTCTTTCAATTTAAACTGCATCAAACTTTTTAATACTTTATTTAATTTTAACGAACGTAAGATTTACATCGGGATTCGGGAACGTGAACAACGACGACTGATGCTCAAAGAAAAACAGCAAAGAAATGGAATGAATAACTAAAATTCCACGGGCGATTATAAAACGTCGGTGTAAACGGTATAACGGTGAATTGTATAATCTCAACTCCTGTTTGCTGCGCCCATCATTACAAAACGGGCCCAAGTGATATCTAGCATTGATGCATTGTACTTTTAATGAACTTTCCCTATATATATATATATATATATATATATATATATATATATATATATATATATATATATATATATATATATATAACCTTATAGCCCGATTTTCACGAAATCAAACTGTATTGAATCGATATAATTCTAAACTAAAAGTTTGTTTGCAATCTTTTATATGAAGTTGTTTGTTTTTGCTGTCTTTAATTTGTTGATGTTGCCGACCTCAAATTAAGCTCGCTATCAAATCGTGAATGCTTTCCGGAGAATAACAAAATGTAAGCTAGCTACTGCCTGGGCCCTGGTATAAGGTTATAATTCATTAATTAACCTGACTCGACGTTTTCGAGTCAACTTTTAATGCATTATAATTTATAAGACTTTACCACGAGCTAGCAGAGTTACCAAACCATGGCGAAGGGCCAAATTTCAGCACGCAATATGGATCAAATCAAATCAAATCAAATACATTGCGATTTCCTGCCAAATTGTTAACTGCAGTGTAGGTCTAAAGTTAGGGAAGATTTCATTATTTGACTCAATATTTTGAAGTCAACAAATCTAGAATCTTGTGAGACAATACAAGAGTTCACGGTCTGGTGTCAAATATTTTGGATTTGTCTGGCATTCTAATTTGTTATCACTTTATGTACATGTATATTATTATTTATACTTGCTGCACGCACCCCTGATATGTACGGTATTTTTGTTTGAATTTTAGTAAAAACAGCCTGAAATATATATGCATCGCAGTGCACCGAGCTCGCAAAAATAATAAATACATGCATGCATGACAGTAATCTCATAATAATCATCTCGCTCAGTTTAGCATCCAAGATGTAATAAATGTTATAATCAGAGGATAGACTTTTAATTTAAATATTGTATCATAACGTTAATATTATAAATTACAAAACACTTTTTCCTCTCGTGTGAATGTCACGAAGAACATGGTATGCGTTTTATATGCATGCGTTTAGACACCGAGGTAAACTGTGAAGCTAAATGAATGCCTGCATGTGCAATCTAAAAAAATAATTGAAAACTCAAGGTTATCAAACATATTTAGTTGATAGTTGTGTATATTATGTATATACGATTAAAATTGTCATGGAAAAAAATATTTTGTTCATAGTTCCAGTACGCGTGTATAGTGAAAAGTTATTTCTAAATCCTCTGATACTCAGAGCTTTTGACTGACTCATGACCAAATCTATCATGGTGCAATTAAAAAAACATATAATCATATAAATCCTATTCGAAGTCGGAATCAAATTATACAGGTTATATAGGTTATAAAACTTATAATCTAGACGAATCCCTGAATAATTTTATAGAGATATATATGCTTTGGTGGACTAAATCGGTTATTATTATTAAAAATTATTAAATAAAAAATCTTGTGAAAGTAAACGGCCGTCGAGTTTCCAAATGTATATTGATAGTATATTGATACAGAATGCATGCTTTTGGCAACCTGACCAAGTCTTTCAACAACCCTGCGTGAGTTTTTGATATATTATATTCCACGAACATTCCGGTGTTTTTTATGGGTAGCCGCTGCGCATGGCTGAAATACAGTAAATGATGATGCTTGAATTGATAGGCAGCATGTGTGGTAGAGATTTGGACCATATAATATCTCAACAGTTAAAAAACCCACAATTCCTTCATTATTCGCTAACACTGAAACAGTGAAATGCTTCGAAGGTATTGCTCGATTTCACTTTCCTTTAAAAACTCGTGATTTTAATAGGCAAACAGTTTACTGAATTAATTGTGACGAGTACTATATACTTTTGCTTTTAGACGTTTTATTTGCCCCTCTCAAGGACATTTTGAATATGAGAATTTAGTAACACATGCGTTGGGAATTTGTCGCATGGTCCGCTTGGTAAAAAAAACTCTCCAAAAAAATGGCAGGAATGCTGGAGGGAAAAATGGATGAGATCTCTTATATTATTGTTATTTATTTCATTAATTTGTTTATCCAAAAAAATCAAGCACAAAAAAAATGTAGCTATAACAAATAAAACATAACATTTATTATGCTGCCAATCTGCCATACATTTAAGGTATAAGTCATTGCATGACTATACTGCAGTAGGTAAAGACAGTCATTTAAAAGAATATTTTTGGTCAGTATTTCTTATATAGGAATAAATTGTGAAATACGTCTGAAAAATATCAATCAGATTTATATCTGATAAGTTAAGCCTCAAGTACTGAAGTACATAATAAAAGCCATCAAGGTGATATTTCAGTAACTAATAAACTGAATAGACAATGAATAAAAAAAATCCATAAGTGTTACCTTCAATACCCCGTATCACATGGACATTATTACATACCTAGCTATGTGAATTTTCCCAGACTGGCACATTAAAGAAACGTTAGCTAAGTGGTGAAAGGGCACTGCAAGTGGTGGATTAATCAAGAAGACGTCGTATGGAGTTTTAGAGATTTTTTATTTCTATGGATTCTCTCGCATTTTCATTAATTGCATGCCATAAGGATTTGCATAGAGCGGTCTTTAAAGGACTTCCATGCAGTCATAGCTAAACTGCCTAAACATTTTTCGGTGTAGCAATGGTTGGTGGGGCCACTATCACTGTGGTCACTGTGGTGCAACCTTTTCCAGGAGATTCTAAAGACACAGATAAGAATTTCAACATTTTGGATTATACTAGATTTGTAAACAAGAAAACCTTTGTAATGGTAAAAGTCATTCCAACATATCCATGATAGCGTAACCTGCACAGCATGAAAATATCTCTCAACGCATTGTATTGTGTTGCGCTCTATTCTAATGCATTGTATATGTGGGTTGCAATGTTATTACTTCCTTTATAGTTCACTACTGTGTGTGGTTTCACCACATTGCAATAATGACATGACATATATGTTTCTGTAAAAGTGAAATATATTATTGGGCGAAGTGGCCAAAAATTAGTTATCAAATTGCTTGCATATGTTGAATTCATTTTTTCTTTATTTATTTTTTCAAAAAAGGTTTGAGATATATGAAGTTGAAAAAAATGTTTATTATTTTGTCTACATGGTTCTACATGGATCCTTGTTCTCTTACCAAAGCTTTCTTCATGTTTTGATTAAAGTAACACTATTTAAGTGCTCGTCAGGCATCATGCACTACTACTTTTGTGATCCACATGAATAGCTATGCATGAGTGCCTTTTTGATGTGTTTTGACGCATTTTATGTACGTCTGTCCATGGAACCGCGAATGCGTTTTTCCGGAATGCAAAGGATTTTTTGAACGTCACAATAAGTCAAATTCCAACCACTTACCTATAAATTAGGCGTAAGAGTTGATTGACAAAAGTCACATGCTGATACATGCATATACTGGCTAATAAATGATAAAATTTGACTTTAAAAACAACAGGAAATGATTCGTAAAAAGCAAAAGCATGATTATGTTCTTCCTCACTGTAAAATATAGAAGATAAGAGTTGGTTAAGTGCCTGAAGGACGACTCGAAGGCAATCGTTGCCGACAAGATTACGAAAAAGAATGATTTAAAGCGATTTGAGAGAACACTAAGGACTTCTTTTTAATAAAGAGAAATAATCTTAAATGTCGTGTTAGGTAATTAATATATAGCTATAATAATACTAGTGTTGCATGGGGAATACTTATAACAGCCAAGATGTCCTTACTTTGTGAACAATACTTAAAACTTCATAAAGACATTCGAAGTCTTCAACACTATATTCCAACACAAATTAGCGTATTTATTTTATTACCACCTGGAGACATTGAATGAGCTGTATCAAGAAATGCGAGAAATACCACACCTTTCAAAATCCCTTTGAGGCATTGTTGAATTTCTTATATGGTAGTACTTAACGCAAACATTCTAATAACATAAAATTACATTTGATATTACATTTTAAACGATATATAATAATTGATAAATCTAGCGTATACATTCATTGCATATTTAAGTGAAAATGTATCACGTTAAAATATATGCATGAGGATGTAACCTATATATAAACATTTTACCAGAATGCATGACTGATAAGAACTACTATAGAAAAACCTACATAGAACATTCTGAGATTTTTACAAAACAACAAAAATTAGCCTCTGCATTATGTCTGTCTTCCAAAGAAAATCATTTCGCTTGAGAAACAATTTTGATTACATCTGTTCTGATAAAATCAGTCTCTGCTTGCATGACTGACTCTGTTTAGCGCAAAATATGATTATTAGTACATCCACTGTGGACATGCGATCGAAATAACAATTACTCATGTGGAAAATGCTATTATGAAATCATTATTTAGCTATATAAAAGCTATAGTGTAAAACTGCTTAAGAGCTTTATGGAAGCTGGGTATATATAAACTCAATCGTCTCGTTTTAAGCCGGCTGAGAAGCGAATCTCGTACTGGTACTCTTGGCAAAGATTCAATATCAAGACATAGGACGTGCGGATTACGAATTAGTGTTTGAGAAACATATAAGATATAGGTGTAAAAAATCGATGAATGAACCAGTCGTTTTCTGTGAGGCTATGAAGCATGCAGTGTTTTACCAAGGAGAACGTATGTAGTATTATAGGTGTTATATTTTACCACCCCTCCAAACCAACCGTCGTAGCTTAGTGGAAGAGCAGTGCTCCGCACTTATCAAGGTCCTTGTTTGGACGACATATAGTTGCAACTTGTAGCCCTGCAATATTGTCCCAGGATTGTCTCGATCAATGCAACTTACGTAATTTTTATCTGTGATTTCAAAAGATTGAGTCTTACAGCAGCTATAAGAGCCATACTAAAGGTTTATAGCAATTAAATCGCTTTACCCATACAAAGGCGGAAATTAAAAGGCGCAGAACGATTCCTGCTGAAGGACCTATATACAGCACTGTCATCCCATAACCTAATACAATTTGGAAATATATTTCAGACAAGGCCTTCAGCCTTACAAACATGCAGGTATATATGACCCCAACTACCTCGTATATAAATATATACATGGTACATCAGGTATGAATGGCCATGAGTCAGAACGTCTTCTTAGTTAAATTAGTTTTAATATGTCATATTTTGTCCACGAGTTAAATTCACAAAAACACAATCAAACGGTAGTTCGCATTCACTACATGCATCATATTGCCACCACATTTTTTCCATTCTTGGCTTAATTTCGCGTGTCAATTTTGAGGATTAACCAAGTTTTCAACGCGAACTTAAACAGCGACTTATAGACTAGCTACGTTCTCACGACCTTAATTATACCAATTCAAGATTTTATGGATTCCACTAACCATTGTTGAAGTTATATAATGATTGATTATTTTCACACAGCATTTTTTTACCGTATGCATGTTGCGAATTTACTATAGCATGCGAAGAATCTTTCATTTTGGCCCAAAACATCCTGTTAAATGCAGCCTGTGAGATGTTAATGGCAAGTCCTCAAGCGCTTTTAGAAATTGAAGTCTGTCTGTCTGTCCCAATAAATCATACAGGGTGGTAATTTCTGCAAATTTACTCAACACCAATTGAATTACGTCAACAAAAGCAGACTGACCATATACGAACGCGGTTACTACATTACTTAGTCGCTTTATAGTATTAGTCTTGTCACATGTGACAAATAACTATAGCTACCTATAGAAAATCCCCAAGGATATATGAGGTGTAAAATTTTCAATTCTATCACAGAGATAAATACGGCATTGAAAGCTATCTTTTCAGTAGACTCTTCCCTCCCTATATTCTAGTGGGATTGGTGACAAATAACGACCATATAGAGTAAAAATAATTCTGGTTCACCGATAATGATTGCTTAACACAATGCTACACTGTTTGACACAATGCTGCACATAATTAAGAAGAAAATATTCGGAAAATTTTGCGGGACCTTCTGAAAATGTGATGCCTGCTTCTTGATATGCATTCGCAATGTATTGAACATTTGCAATGTAAATATATATAATTGTACAATGTGCATGTTGTAATGACATGTCGTATGCGCAATACATTTAAAGTTGCCTGGAGGAAATTATTTTAAGATTTGCTTTCGATTCCGTAAAAGGGACACCGCGTATATATCCCTGAGATAGGATCAGCAGAGATAAATTGCAATTGTTTTTTTGAATTAATAACAATCATGTTTCTATGTAGACCTAGTATTGCTGGGTAGCTACAGCCCTTGCCCTTGGCAACTTACTGAAAATTGAAAAATAACAAATAAAAAAATACTTCCTTATATCAATGGCTTACTGTAAGTTACAATGTCACAATAGTAATTAATATATGGGAGAAATTTTCCAAAAAAAATCATCTGGCATAGAAATTTATTCTGGTAAATTTAGGTAAGATATTTCTGCATATACTTTGTCTGAGTTGATTTGGCCGGAAAATATCTCTATTTTGTCTATGATCTTTCAGTGTTGAAACAACTATTATATTAATCTATTTGCTCTCGATCTATTTTGCTTAATAATAGACACTTCCCGAATTTGTTCTCGGGCAATGAAAACCATCCCATCAACAATAGATTACGTTGCCCGCCTCGTTTCCAAGCTATTGTTTTGTGTGCACTCAAGCAAATTCGGGAAATCTATATGAACTGTAGTTTTGAGCTATAAGATTTGTTAATTAGTTAGCTATCTCTTTAGTGCGAACTGAAAAAGTAATGGGTTGATCTGAACGCTACATTTCTTCAGTCATTTTTTTCCCTTCTGTCATCCATTTCTTCTGTCTTCCAAATTAAACTCGTGTATTCACTTTTCAATGATGAGATGAAACATTCTTTAGCAAAAATCTGTAGTAGATTCATTCTTTAATTCCATCACATGCAAGCTCTACATATCTCAATTAAATGTTTGTTTTTTTGTTCCTTAATTATTTGTATGTTTTAACTTTTCACATTGTTTTAAGGAGGATTTAGTTTAGCAACTTAAATGCTTCCGATTAGGGTTTACTCGAGCAAATCTGCACCATGGGTGTCACAAGTGATGACAGGAGAACTCGGAAGCACAGACTCGACAAGCACAGACTCGATTTCAGCGTTTTCAGGTTTGTAGCGAAAGTCGAGAATTAACTTTAAAAGGAACTAGGTCGAATCCTACCTGAGGGGAATTCCAGACTGCTAACAGTCGTGGTACTTGTCGTTCTATCAGATGAATCGATTGACGGAAACTGTAACAGTCACTTCGTCCATGGAATACTTCGATTCAGTTACCCCTGGCAAACACGCACATTGTTGAAATGTACATTTCCATGTATTTGTCATATACTTTTATACGAACTTATGTTGTGCTGCTTGTGTACTGTTAGTTATCCTGTGTATATACTTCCCCATTCCTTGTTTTAAAGATAGCCTCAGTCCAACCATATCAAGATTTGGACCGGAAAAATAAAAATTTCGGATTCGTCTTTGATGACACAGACCAAAACTGAAAGAACGTGCAGGAATCGAATAAAAATTGATAAAAAATGAATGAAAATTTCGATCGTGGTTGGAAAATTCTAAATTAGATTCTTTCGAGCAAATGACCAGGCATTATATAAGTATAAACATCTGTCTGTAACACTGACATTATAAATGCACGAAATGTGCGGAACACAATCAACACACTAACACACATGGCGATTGATATATCTGTCAGTAGTTGATAAATCGCTATGGGATGCACGTGTGGGTTATATTGAAATTGATTTACCGCACGTTGTGCGCAAAGGAGGTGTGTAAATTAGGTGCAGCGCGATTTGCGCAATGTATTCCAATTAGGCCAAAATCAACGTTTGAAATTTATTTTAACTTCTAAGCCAAGAAAATACAACTGGCTTCAAGTCTTGAAGAAATGCAATTTTGGACCTTCGACTTACTATTCCTCAAATAAGGAAATTATCAACATAGAGGGATAGATATACGTTGCTGACGCCTCCGCTGTAGTATACGCAAAGGCATATTACATCTTTCAAACCTTTACTGAGTACAAGCTTTTAACTTAGACAATGTTCCTGTTTCCGATTTTTGACACACAGTTCAGTTTTTCGAAACGCAAGGATTACTCAAATTTCCTTAAAATTTCCTTTGGCAGTAACTGTAGGTCACCTATATACTCAAAGAGATATAGCATCTGTAGTTTCATTTTTACCAGTCACAGCGGGGAGCATGCATTAATTTCAATATAAATCAAAATGACTATGCTTCTGGGTTTACAACATATATCCATCGGTATATCAAATACCACACCCTTAAAAAAAGTCCATGCAATCATATCGTGCCTTCACATAACAACTACCAGCGTTATTCAAACATAGGGACAATATTTTGGTTCTATTGACGCTTTCTATTATACGGTAAAAACGGCCAGACCGGTTCTGTTCTATTTCAGTACAGAGCGTCGTACAGAGTGTTTCAAAAACTCTGCATCCCAGTATATTGTTATTTACATCTGCCTAGCACGCAGGAATGCAATTTCACCGCTATATTCTTAACGAAATACTCTATTTTATTCCAAAATATGACCGGTCAGACCATTTGGCCGCCTGAAGGAAAGCGCCCTATGTTTCAGCTCACAGTTTATGTTACAAAGCTGCTCTAAAATCAATTCTAAATTCATGGGGCACGCATACATGTACAATCTGATCCCAGCGTTGTTTCCTGTTATTCTGTCATCGCCTCGTTAACAAAGTATTAAGATACACAAATATTCACGTAGAAAAATTATTGGTGAACTTCCCATCAAGCGAGATATATTAAAGCAGATACGGTAGGTAGAAAAAACAAAAATGCAATCGACAATTTTTGCACGGCTTGACGAAGAGGAACCTCGTACCCAGGGCTTTCCCCAAGAAGGAAAACCGTAGGTACGAGGTTGGATGAAGAGTTGGATATCATAACTGACCTTCGTGAGAATAAAATTTTCAGAGATTCATCAATTTAGAGATTAAATTCTGGTGGTAACCTACAGCTTAAACCCCCCATAAAAGCACCATCTTTTCAACAAATCAACTCTTATAAACGTTTTAAATTCGTGCTTATATAATATAAGTGAAAGTCAACTTGACTCTACATTAAACTAACTTTATACAAGTGGTAATATTGTTTTTAAAAATGTTTGCTAAAAGTATTTTTAAAACAGGAATAGCTTTTCGACATTTGCATTATACAGGCTGTATACTGGCGATTAAAGTGACCTAGATGCGATCCATGCGATGCCGGAATGTGATCAATAATCCAACGTTGCGTGACCGACCACTACTATATATGATTATGCTTTTTGTACCAAGTCAGAGTGCTGATTTGTTTATGGGCCTCCACCGTGCAGGAATCATGAAAGCAAACAATCCATCAACTCGATCCACGAGATATCAATACCGTACCCCTGGAGATTCAATCATATGACGCAGTGTGCAGGAACAGCTGGTCGTCAACCAGAGATGCGATCACATGCAGTGTGGAATATGGAGTAACCTAAAACATATCAAAGTACTATTTATACTGCATGATATCTCTTAACATGGTCACATGACTCACATCGGTTTTCCTATTTCTTGACCCCAGTTGTCCAATCCATCGTTCATAGGACGGATTAAACCGTGGCGTTTGGTGAAGTCAAACAAACAACTAAACTCGATCCACTTGTCATGCAAATGTAACAGAGACGAATTTTAATCGGATAACGTGCAGGCATGCTAATATAACCATGGTCCACCGTCGTCGACCGTCTGCGGAAGGTTTATTCACAACATGACCATGGCGCTTACTATACTCTCCACCTGCTGTGTCATTTTTGAAAGGTTTCTATATATGCATATATGGTATGAGAAAACGCATTTACGTAATATGCAAAAGAGAGCTATAACATTCCACTGCTCACAAGCCAGGATAAGATATTTAGAAAATCTCAGCGTAGTCTGCTGTACCTCTAATGCCAGAATAATCGTAGACGATATGGAATATGGAACGAACGATATTGACCAGCCCTTTCCCAGTGTTCCGGGTCAGTCTCGGTCGATAAAAAAGCCCTGTTGGAGACCCTGTTGAAATACGGCAGCATGCATTCTATTTAAAATGAAAAATGTGCATTTTTACTTATCATGAAAATGTTGATACGGCTGACAGTGGATTTTTCTATGGCATTTGATGCGTAATTGTCGTAGTTTTTGTACCTCCAAACAAATCCCAGAATGCAGTGTGATCTATTTCGGGAAAAGGGTAATAATGCCAATAGGAAGGAAAACCGTCTGAGTTAAAAAAAAAGGAAAAAAACGAAACTATAGCTACATGCAATAAATGAGAGTGCTGGGAAGACTATATATAGGAATTACACTTTTGGCTATCCTATGCAGCTAGGATTAATTACATGCTATTTATATATCGCAAACAACCGGGAGACTAGTCGCGCGTATCATGCCAGTTTAGCCAAAATCTCAAGAAATTGGGGTGGATTTAAAAGTTTAATTGTTTTGCTAATGTATATTTAATTTGCGCTACTTTTAATAAGTAAATCACACATTATCCTATATTATGTAACTGCACGATATTTAATACCTTACTTACTATACTTACTGTAGCTTCTTTCTTCCAGGAATCTTGCCCTAACTTTCTATTTGTTGTAATCAAATGATTTATCATAATCATGCTGTATTTTGCAGATATGTCCGCTTTTGAGTAAACTTCTTAACACATGCTTCCTGCTTTCCAAAGAACTAATACAGTAATACTTAAAATGTTTGCTGATAAACCATCTTAAGCTTCCGTTTTGCCGAAATATAGGCCACCTGCCTTTGAATAATAGAATTCTAAAAAATTATTAATTGTGACGAGCTAAACACCGATGTAAAGGAAGTGATAAACTAATGCTTTTGAACTATAAATCAAATTAAGTTAACATGTGAGATACAACGGACAGCTTACAGAAACATACTTTAATGGCTATAGACTATAGTTTACCAACAAGGCATCGTCAGAAAATAAATGATATGATGAAACATTTTAGTTTTCTTTATATGGTTTTGCAAAACTGATTAATGATGCACTGCAATGAGTGAACTGTCCTATTCTTTAGGTGATGAACGTCAAAGCAACAATACCAGGAAACAATATTACCCCAATAATATATTAGCAAATCTTGTGGCGAGATCGTGGGATCCCACATATCCCACCGATAACCTTTCCATAAATGGGCTAGACCCGTTGCCATTTTTGGAGGACGTCATCCCTGCTAAGTTACTCAAACCTACGCAGTGCTATTGTACTGATAGACAATAATGCAGGCGGGAACAGGATCATGGCTCTGTTTACTTAAAGCGTATTGACTCCCACTACCATATACCATATGGGGCTAAACTGCTGAGTGAATTAAAACAATCAGTTAGAGGAACATATTTGCGTGCTGTATTCATAGTTGCACTTCTGAAATAGAATTGATCGGCTAAAAATATTCGATTGTAACAGCTAAGAGGTCGTCTCGCTTTCTGCACTCGCTGGGAATGTTTTCTATACATTTCATTTATGAGATACGGTAGATGTATTAAACTGAAATATTGCGGGTGATGAACCATAAATTAACATAAATTTATCTTATTATATCATAAAGTTATTGCTTTTTTATACCAGAAATAGATGCCATTTTGAGCGTTTCTTATATAAATGAAAATAGATGAACGCGCATGCACTTATTTTACAGTATATGTAATAGATATCGCTGCATATATAGTTGTGCTTTTCAGTCAGGGGATGTGTAAGATTATAATTCCTCAGATAGTTTATGATATATAAGTCTAGTTTTACAACTGAGTGCCATGATAAATTGATCTTGAATTAATTTTCAAGTTGTTTCTCCTAGACTATAGCTCTTTTTTTCTTCCGCTTTTAATGGCTTCATAATTGCTCGCTAAAGAGCATCGAATGGCGTTCTTATGAGTTATAGTAGCGGCTAGTATTCCAATGACATTAATGGTTTACATTACAGGAAAGAAACATGAACTAAACCACTTTATTTTTAGCCTGGACGGATGTCTATAGTTTTTTTAACGTCTCTACCGAAATCCTGAAAAGGCCATAATAACTTAATAACGTACATATAATTAGACACAATATTAAATATAGAGGCATTTTTGGAAGTACTACAGCGATTAACGACAATCTGTCATTTACCTAGCCACAACGATTAGGAGGATATTATAGAAAGGAAACAAAACCTTATACGTATATTTGC